TATTCTACATAGCTCACTATATATCTTTGCCTTTCAACTGAATAAATAAATTTTTATAAGAAAGATTTTTATATGTATCTATTTTACCTCATAGATTGCCAGCCTCTCACAGCCCAAAAATTTGGGCTAAAATACTTTATTTTAAAATGGCTTTATTTTTCAGTGTTATACTTGAATTACTGTTTATCTTTACAAGATCAGAATCTGGCATGTTAAATCTACATAAGCTAAAGGGCTAGTTAAGAGGGAATTTAATGCTGTAAAGAGCTCAACTTCCTTATTCCATTATGATTTGCTTATTGAGTCTAAAAGGCACATGCTTCATTAAGTTACTTACAGGTTTTAGTTCAAAGCAATTGCACAGCTTTTAACTTCCCATTGGAAATTGCATTAATTCATGTGCTGGATAAAGTAATATTTCAATGTTGTGAGCAACACGAAACATAAGAAATTAATATACAACTATTTGATATCACTAACTTTACTGAAAACTATTTTTGTGACAATATACTATTATAAATAAACAGATTACATATTTGCCAACATAGCAAGGAAAGTCACAATGAGAAACTAACAGAAATATGTTTATATTCACCAATACACAATGATATTAATTTACAGATTTTGAAAACCAGTTAAGTGTAAAAATATATAAATTGTTAAATCTTAATAATTTCATTTGAAACTAAGTACGAAGTACACATAAATATACAACAAAGAAATAATTTCGTTATTTTGATGATAAGTAGCTTGAATGCTTAATAGTACTCATACTTTAACTATTTATGGAAAGCATTTCTATGTACTGTTTAAGAAAAGATGGCTTTTCACATTCTGCCACTAATTTAATGATAGGCAGCAAGAAGGAAAAAAAGCTTTAAATAATTATTGTCAATTAACCGTTTAGCCCTAATTTATCATCAAAATATTCATCTTAAATTATGTATACATGGCTATGCAAAATTGAATTGAGAACTAGTGCTTGGTGAATTTGTCCTTCTGTTTCCATGGAAACTGATGCTGGGTCGCATTTCTTTAAGACTGATTTTAAAGTGGAAAACTACAGTATATTAATATTCCACGAAACTCCAAACTTAATATATTTCACAGATTTTAAACTTTACTTGGTTTTCAAAACAGCAGTTTCTAGCATGCCACAAAGCTCATAAAACTTACTTTTACTGAATTGCTGTATCTGTTTTATTGTCTCTAGCTATCCCTCCCCCTCATTTTAGTAGAATGACTTAAGAATAAAGGTTTCATTTTTTTTAACTTGGCTTTGTATCCTTAGCATATGGCAAATGTTCTAGCCTAAACTCTTATTTAATAAAAGTATTCTGAATGAATAAAAAATAACAAAATAGGCTATTTCTCTCTTTCCTGTTACAATGAGTATCAGAACACAATTAGATAGAAGCAGTAAGTTTTAATGTTCTGCAGCACAGTGGTGTAACTACAATCCATAATAACCTATTATATGATTTATGAATACAGAGAGGGAGGAATTGTAAGGCTCCAAATACAAAGCAAGACCAATAGAGGGAAATGTTAATGACCCTTATTTGATTGGTGCACATTACATATATTCATTGAAATATGCTGTATCTCCATAAATATGTGCAATTATTGTTAACTCTAAGGTTTTCCAAATAAGGTTTAAGGAGTTGGAAATGCTAAATAATATCACACAGTACCCCATAAAATGTACAATTAAAATAATAATTTAAAAATAAATTTAAAGATGTAAACTTCAGTAGTTAACTGTGTGACCCATAGGCCAATCACAAACCTCATATATTAACGGTTTCTTTACTAGCTTGGGGATAATGACAAACCCCATGTCATGCAGTTGTTGTGATTTTTAAATAATATAATTCATATAAAGCACCTAGAACAATATTTGGTGTAGTAAACCATCAGGAAAATAGCTATAATAATTGCAGCAACAATAACTACTGGTTTTGCTACTACTTCTTGCCAGGCATTGACGCTGGATATTGTATGATTCAAACACCCTGTACCTCTGATTATTATCTTCATTCTACTGGCAGAGACTCCAGAGAGGACACCTAGTGTGACTCAAGTTGGAAGCTGGGAAGCCAGAAATTGAACCCACTAACGCCCAATTCCAGACCCTGGAGCTTTTCTAATACACTGTGCTTTCCTCATAGATATATGTAAAACGCATGCTTCCCTTACCACCAACCCCACTCCACCACCATTCTCCTCCCCACTAAAACAGAACAAAACAAAATAATAAACAAACAAAACAAACCACAGTGTAACTTCTTTCTTTAAAAGCTTTTCATAATGTATTCCATAATTTAAAATGTGGCCACCTGAAGCATTATAGAGGATAGCTAATTTGAATTCAGTAGATTGCAGAAAGAAATTTTCCCACACTAAATTTTATTTTTACTGTTTCGGAAGTCAATTAGGTCCCTGATGTAGTGCAGGAAAGCATAAAATTGGATTTTAAACTTGGAAGCAAACATATAGCTCTGTTAGAGGTTCCTGAGACTTATTTCTCAGGAATTATCCTGCTGACCTTTGAGGATTTTCAAAAAGTCCTATTTGCTTGTCTCTGTCTTGTTATAGCCCCTGGACATTCCTCCTTTAAAAAACAGATCAATATTTACTCATCATTTGGGTCCATTGACAACAGTGAAAAAACATTTGTAGCAAGAATCATTGCTCCTTCCTTTTAAGTATATGGTCAAGTTCATGAATGTTCAAAAAAACTTTTTAATAAATAGACCACAGTATTAGACATTTTATCAGAACTTTTCAGTGGATCAGAATAACTAATGTACACAAAGAATATTCGTTAAGAAAGTACTCTCATATATTTTCTCGTATATTGAATGCAATTACCTGTGATTCAGTTCTAACATGGGGGTATTATATATTTGAAAACAGCAACAACAATGTTCTCTTCCTGCCTCCAAACTCCAAAAAATTAAAAGACCAAAACCAAGTGCTGAGCATGGAACTGTTGAGTGAGTGAAGTCACACACCTGGAAGGTGGTCAATTTGGCCTTATTAAACATAAATCTCTTAAACATATTCATACTAGGGTTCAGTATATGTAAATAAAGAATTTGTACAGAGATATTGATATAACTAAAGAACGTGGAGTTTTCTAGAATATAACATTGATATGGTCCATAAGTCAGTTGTAAAGAACAATGAATCAAGGACTTGATTCAGTTCCACTATTTTTTCATTTTTCAGTTAATTATAACTAAGATATGTTTATAGAATTACAGAGCAGTATAGCAGAACATATAAAAACGATTAAATGACATGAATTTTCTGACATTCAACTATTACAACATACAAAAATAACTATTTAAACCTAAGAACATGCTTTTAATAATTATTACTCAAATGGAATATATAATTAGTATTCAAATGCTTTTAATGCAACCAATAATAAGTTAGTTTTGATTCAGAAATTTAATCTTTAAGTGGGAAATTGCCATATATATATATTTATATATACATACACATACATATCTATGGTGGAGAGAGTTCTGTATTTCTAAATAGAGCCACTATTTTGGAACAGAATGATAGATTTAAATGTTTTAAGAGAGTCTACAGGCCGGCACCACGGCTCAATAGGCTAATCCTCTGCCTGCGGCGCCTGCACACCGGGTTCTAGTCCCGGTTGCCCCTCTTCCAGGCCAGCTCTCTGCTATGGCCCGGGAGTGCAGTGGAGGATGGCCCAAGCCCTTGCACCTGCATGGCAGACCAGGATAAGCACCTGGCTCCTGGCTTCGGATCAGCGCGGTGTGCTGGCCGCAGCACGCTGGCCGCGGCGGCCATTGGAGGGTGAACCAATGGCAAAGGAAGACCTTTCTCTCTGTCTCTCTCTCTCACTGTCCACTCTGCCTGTCAAAAAAATAAATGAAAAAAAAAAAAGAGTCTACAAAGTCAATACCACTTTCATAATAATATTGCAATATAATTTTCAATTTTCACTCATATTTTCTTATTAGTGTACAAGACTTTTTGAGAGGCTACTGCAATATCTTGTGTCATACTGCAACAAATGGAATACTGGAGCAGGTAGCTACTTTCTATTAATCCAGACATTGGTGCAATTTATAAAAATTAATTTCATGCTAGTCTCATCACTATTTGGTTTTGGAAAATATTTAATTTTCAAAATATGTCATTTAAAAAATTATTTAAGGTCTACAAATTTCATATACCCAAATATAGGAACATAGTAATACTCCCCACCCTATCCTCCCTCTCGCACACACTCCCACTCTTCCTCCCCCTTCCTCTCCTAATCCCTCTCAATTTTTACAATGGTCTACTTTCAGGTTACTTTAGACTCATAAGATTAGCCCTACACTAAGTGAAGGGTTTAAAAAAACAATAAGAAAAAAAAAAAAACACTGTTCAGGGTTGTAAACAATCAATAAAGCCCAAAATATGAATTTTACACCTATACATTACTACATTTTTGGTACTCTATTAATTACCACAGATCAGAGAAAATATATGGCATTTGTGTTTTTTGGATTGGATTATTTCACTAAGAATAATGTTGCATCCATTTTGCTGCAAAGGACAGGATTTTAAAATATGTTATTTATGTTAATGTATAATTGCTTATTATGTTATTTTTAATAAGTGACTAAATACAGATATTTTAAGTTCTTTTAGTTTCCATACAGTAGATATTAATATTTATAAAACAATTTTTTTTAGAATTCACAATGAATTTTGAGAGTGGAAGCTTCATATAAAAAAGAAACAGAAGATATATATTGTCAGTTCAGTCTTAGAATTTCCTCTCACTTTTATAATCCCATAAGATTAAGATCTTTATGGTCCTTGTAAAATATGAGAAATCATTTAAAATAGATCTATATAAAACCCCTTATAGCATTTTATTCATAACATGAAAAATATTGAGCTCTTAAGAAATTGCTCCATCTGCAAAATATATTTATAACTTCACCAAAATAAATAATTCATACCTCACCAAGTGAGTAATAACGTCTTGGAATCTGGGAGTCCGGGTAGATGTTTTCTAGGTACCAGGAAAAGGGCTTACACTTCAGATTTTCTCTTAGTGTTTTTCTGACTGACACATCTCCATAATCCACTTTGACAACACCTGGAATTTTTCAGAGAAACACAAATAAGTTTTTGCTATTTTTGCTGAGTACTATTTCACTTGGTTTATTATTTTTTTCTCTATAATTATAATTCCATCAAATCTGATTGCATATACAGCTGTTACTACACTTGTTTTCTTGCTATCATCCAATTAGTACATTGAGTAGATATTTAAAAAAAATGGTTCTTACATTTGTTATGACTTTTCAAATGCAAATATTTATCATCAAGTACTTGTACTTCTTAGACTGAGTATTAATTAACTAAATGTAAATTGGTATTAACAATATCTCATAATCAAAGTGTAACTGAACTGTGTAATAATGTCTGTTTCTTTTTGTAAAAATTGCAATAGTTCCAATATTTTTGCTAATGTTTGTATTTTCCCAGTAGAGTCTTTATTCATCACTTGTAGAATTTATGGGAAATTTATATAAATACAATTTTCGCAATGTGAGGCAGTGATCTATGTGATCTAACTTTCACTACTTGAATTTTTATTCTGCCTAAGTTTACTATAGATATGATTTTGTTCTTGATTTGTCTATTTTATTTTATGTGTTATTGCAAGCCACCTCAAGTTTTTGAAAGGGTTATTAAAGAAATAAGCATAAAGAAACTAAGAAAAACAAACTGGCAGTAAAATATTCACATGTGTATATTAAAACTGCTCAATTTTCCCTCATATAACAACAGAATATTTGAAGCTAAAATGAATACTTTCACCAAAGATCATAAAAATGCCTTCCCGTTGATAAATAAAAATAATAAGCTAATTCTTATAAAATGTATATGATATATTCTGATTTGTTCACTATCAATATTAAAAATCACATTTGATTGAAATGACTAAATGAGACAAAAATAGCACTTATTACTTTGAGCAGTTTTCAACATTATAGTCATTCTTAAGGTCAGTAAGCAACAAGGTGTTGGCCCTGTAAAACAATATATTTAGTGTGTTTTACCTCAATCAAGCATAAAAACCAACTATTCATTCTGTAAAATAAGGAAAAACAATTCAGACAACCTGCATGAGTGTACTCAATGCCATTACCGGGTCACTATTTTCAAAAGCAGCAACGCTCTGGAAGTTCATCTTCAACTAGCTGCACCCCCTTGTTTCTTCAGAAGTTTTGTTTGTTTAAAATCCAATGCTACGATATGTTGTAAGAAAGCATTCTGATGATGCTTAAACAGCCAAACTATTCCCTTCCAAAACTGATTTTTCCTAGCTAATGCTTGCACAAAAAACAATAAAATTTTGGTTTGAACATATAAACAGTAAAAATAATGTTATCCAGAACTTCCAATTTGGAGTGCAACTTTCAAATTAAGAAACAGTTTTGTATTTACAAAGCAAAATAAAAGAATTTCTCATTGGTTTAACTATTATGGCAACTGAAATGATTTAGTACACAGTCCTCAAAATCAAATGAAGGGATGTCACTGCAGCCAGAAAAAAAAAAAAAAAGTCTATGTACTTAGAAGTCTTACTTTACAACCAGTTTTACTATTGTTTCAATAAAAAGAAAAAAAAACATTCATTTTAGTTTAAACTGACACATATAATTGTACATATTTATGAGGTACAATGTGACATTTTTGATACATGTACATATTGCATAATACTCAAATCAGAGTGAATGTACCATCTCCTCAAACATTTTTTTTGTGTAAATACACTGAAATTTCCTTCTTACAGTTTTCTAAGAAAATACATTTTTTCTTTTTTAAAAAAAGACTTTTTTTTACTTATTTGAAAGTCAGAGTTACAGAGCAAGAGGAAGAGAGAGAGAGAAAGAGAGAGCGAAAGAGAGAATCTTCCATCTGCTGGTTCACTCCCCAAATGGCTGCAACAGCTGGGGGCTGTGCCAAGCCAAAACCAGGAGCCAGGAGATTCTTCCGGGTCTCCCACATGGGCGCAGGGGCCCAAGCACTTGAGACATCTTCTGCTGCTTTCCCAGGTGCATTAGCAGAGGAGCTTGATTGGAAGTGGAGCAGCTGGGTCTCAAATCAGTGCCCATATGGGATGCTGACATTGCACATTGGGGCTTAACCTACTAAGCCCAACATTGTCCCCAACCAATACATTTTATGTTGGTGAATTTAATTGCCTTGTTTAATGTCAGCATCCTCCCTATTTCATTACTTTAGGATTAGCATACTGCTTCCACTTTCTTTCCTAGAAGGGGTTTTTTTTTTTTTTTTTTTTGACAGGCAGAGTGGACAATGATAGAGAGACAGAGAGAAAGGTCTTTCTTTGCCGTTGGTTCACCCTCCAATGGCCGTCGTGGCTGGCGCGCTGCGGCCGGCGCACCATGCTGATCCGAAGGCAGGAGCCAGGTACTTATCCTGGTCTCCCATGGGGTGCAGGGCCCAAGTACTCGGGCCATCCTCCACTGCACTCCCTGGCCACAGCAGAGAGCTGGCCTGGAAGAGGGGCAACTGGGACAGAATCCGGCGCCCCGACCGGTACTAGAACCAGGTGTGTCGGCACCACAAGGCAGAGGATTAGCCTATTGAGCCACGGCGCTGGCCTCTAGAAGGGTTTTCTAAACAGTTTCTTGATTGGAAGGAAGGTCTTCATGATTCATTCACACATCATTTCATATCATACAATGGAACACAGTTACTGCCCACATCAAACTTCTTAAAGGGTGGCTGGTGCAGGATGCCAGAGATGATCAAAGTGAGCTCAGGCCTTCTTAGCCTTCCACTTTTAAGTCATCCCTTGGCACTGCCAGTGTAACTTGGGTTTTATCCCAGTCCTAGATAACTATGTTAGATAAACTCTTGAAATGCATGAATGTACTACGAGCTTATATAATGTTTTGGTAAAAATGACTTTCACCACCTATACCAGTGTTTTCTTACTTAGAAGTGAGATATTGTATTAGAGACAGCAGTGCTCAAGCAGCACTCCAAATACAACTCCACCTTTCTCAGGTGCCTGTACTTAAGAAACGATATCTGACCAGTTTTGATCAATGCAACTTGGGAGGAAGAGGCACATCTCACCTCTGGTCTTTTTTGTTGTTGTTGTTGTTGTTTTTAACTTTTATTTAATGAATATAAATTTCCAAAGTACAGAATATGGATTACAATGGCTTCCCCCCCATAACGTCCCTCCAACCCACAACCCTCCCCTTATCCACTCCCTCTCCCCTTCCATTCACATCAAGATTCACTTTAGATTCTCTTTATATACAGAAGATCAGTTTAGCATACATTAAGTAAAGATTTCAACAGTTTGCTCCCACACAGAAACATAAAGTGAAAAATACTGTTTGAATACTAGTTATAGCATTAAATCTCAATGTACAGCACACTAAGGACAAAGATCCTACATGAGGAGTAAGTGCACAGTGACTCCTGTTGCTGACTTAACAAACTGACACTCTTGTTTATGGCATCAGTAATCACCCTAGGCTCTTGTCATGAGCTGCCAAGGCTATGGAAGCCCCCTGAGTTCACTGACTCTGATCATTTTTAGACAAGGCCATGGTCAAAGTGGAAGTTCTCTCCTCCTTTCAGAGAAAGGTACCTCCTTCTTTGATGACCCATTGTTTCCAGTGGGATCTCACTCGTGGAGATCTTTCATTTAGTTGTTTTTTTTTTTTTTTTTTTTTTTTTTCCCAGAGTGTCTTGGCTTTCCATGCCTGAAATACTCTCATGGGCTTTTCAGCCAGATCCACATGCCTTAAGGGCTAATTATGAGGCAAGAGTGCTGTTAGGACATTTGCCATTCTATGGGTCTGCTGTGTATCTCACTTCCCATGTTGGATCATTCTCTCCCTTTTTTATTCTATCAGCTAGTATTTGCAGACACTAGTCTTGTTTCTGTGATCCCTTTGGTTCTTAGTCCTATCATTATGATCACTTGTGAACAGAAATTGATCACTGGGACTAGTGAGATGGCATTGGTACATGCCACCTTGATGGGATTGAATTGGAATCCCCTGGTATGTTTCTAACTCCACCATTTGAGGCAAGTCAGCTTGAGCATGTCCCGAATTGCACATCTCTTCCCTCTCTTATTCCCACTCTTATATTAAAAGTGATCACTTTTCAGTTAAGTTTCAGCACTTAAGAAGAATTGTGTATTGATTACAGTATTCAACCAAAAGTATTAAGTAGAACAAACAAAAATACTAAGAGGGATAACATATTAAGCTGTTCATCAACAGTCAGGGTGAGGGCTGATCAAGTCACCGTTTCTCATAGTGTTCATTTCACTTTAACAGGTTTCCTTTTTGGTGCTCAGTTAGTTGTCACCTATCAAGGAGAACAAGTGGTATTTGTCCCTTTGGGATTGGCTTATTTCACTCAACATAATGTTTTCCAAATTCCTAACAGGGATCACTTTTCAATTAAAATTTAAACACCAAAAATAATTGTGTGTTAATTACAGAGTTCAACCAATGATACTAGAACAAAAAAAAATACTAAAATGGATAAAGTATTACATTGTACATCAACCGTCAGGACAAGAGCTGATCAAGTCACTGTTTCTCATAGTGTCCATTTCACTTCAACAAGTTTTCCCTTTGGTGCTCAGTTAGTTGTCGCCAATCAGGGAGAACATATGATATTTGTCCCTTTGGGACTGGCTTAATTCACTCAGCATGATGTTTTCCAAATTCCTCCATCTTGTTGCAAATGACTGGGTTTTGTTGTTTTTGACTGCTGTATAGTATTCTATAGAGTACATGTCCCATAATTTCTTTATCCAGTCTACTGTTGATGGGCATTTGGGTTGGTTCCAGGTCTTAGCTATTGTGAATTGAGCTGCAATAAACTTTAGGGTGCAGACCGTTTTTTTGTTTGCCAATTTAATTTCCTTTGGGTAAATTCCAAGGAGTGGGATGGCTGGGTTGAATGGTAGGGTTATCTTCAGGTTTCTGAGCAATCTCCAGACTGACTTCCATAGTGGCTTGACCAGTTTGCATTCCCACCAACAGTGGGTTAGTGTCCCTTTTTCCCCACATCCTCTCC